GAACTAAAATCTACAATACCTGCTACTGTTCTACAAACAGGCAGAGATGAAAAGAAAGGAGCAGTCCCTGTTCCTATACTCCTATGACAAAAGAAAGAAGAGTGGAGAGCAGCTGATTATCTAACATAACCTTGCATTCTAAGAAAAAATAAAGACAATTTTGCTACCTCTCTTTTGTGTAATGCTGTCTTAGTGAATCTCATGATTAAATTGTGACATCTGTTGCAGGCCCTAAATCCACAGATTGTGAGCAACAGCCCTGTTCCCATCTCTTCACAGCAGCAGCATATCTCTCAGCAACAAGCTGCCGCACAGATGTACCCTCAAATGCATCTGCAACATTTTCCAAATTTCATGCCATATCGACAACTCTATTCTCCAGTTTATCCCATGCCTATGCCAAACTATTCGCCAAATGTCCCTTATCCATCGAATGGAAATAATTATCTTCAGATGCCCAGTGGAGGTTCACATTTAACTGCAGGAGGCGTGAAGTATGGAGTTTCACAGTATAAACCAGTCCCATCTGGTAACCCTTCTGGCTACGGAAATTACACTCATCCAGCTGGTTTTACAATGGGTTCTCCGGGTGTTATTGGAGCTGCAGTTGGTGTTGATGATGTCAATAGGATGAAATACAAGGACAACATTTATGCCTCAACTCCACAGGTACAATTTACAATTTTTTGAATGCTATTAATTCTCAAATTAGAGAGATGGGTATCTTTTTTCGTTTTGTAGTACTTTAATAGGACTTCCTCTTTACTTTCTTTGTTTTTTATGGGTTGAGTACTTTATCTCAGAGGTGCCCGTCTTTCCCTGTAAAAGTAAATCAGGTGGGAATGGTGCCATTCTCTTCCTAATAAGAGAATCTGATAGCGAAGACATCTTTAGGCCAATAGTGTTCATGGTTTCTGAGTTCGGTCCTTTCATTTTACTAATTTGAGTATCTTCCACAGGTCGAGACATCTGACATCTGGATTCAGCCAGCTAGAGAGATGCCACCTTTGCAGGTTCCTTCATATTACAACATACCAGGTCAAGCAACGCCTGGTGCTTTTGTGCCAAATCCAGCAAATGCATCTTTCAATGCTACAGCTCAATCCTCTCACGCGCAGTTCCCAGGCTTGTACCATCCTCAGCAGCCTCCCTCTATTGTAAGTCCGCACCCATGGTGCATCAACAGGTGCCATCGGCCATTGGTCCCAATGTTGGGGTCGGGGTGGCAGCTCCAGGCCCGCAAGTTGGGGCTTATCAGCAACCACAGCTTGGTCATATGAATTGGAGACCCAGCTTTTGAAGAAGGTTTCTTAATTATCTGTAATTAGGGGGTCACAAGAGCCTTTATGTAACAACAGTAGGCTCCTTTTAACAGGAAGCACCTTTGTTTTTAGTGCAGCTCTTTCTGATCTATTTAAGCTATAACAAGGTTTTTGTTAGCTTTTCCTTCCCCCAGATGAATTCAGTATCCCATCTGAACTGGTATGATGTAGATTTGTGAGTTAAACATTGGGCAAGATCTCGCATGAGCACCAAGGTTGAGTGCTTTCCATTTTGTTCTATTGTTTTGTTTCCTTATCTGATTTATGCATGCATAAGGTTGTGAATTTTAGGTTTTTAGCAGTGCAAGTGGCATTTTAGTGTGTGCTGCTATCGAATGCAATGTGGTAACCTGGTCAGGGTTCTTTGTAACTGGGGCTGTCCATGTCATAATGATCACGTACATTTTATGATTCCTTGGAACAACAGTTTACAACCTAATTGCGTGTGGAAATTTTCTGTGGTACCTGGTACCTGAGGATTTTACTTCTGTAGTAGGCTAGTCTGTATGTAGTTGGAGACTATTGTGCACTGATTTAGTTGTCCTGGAGTATTATGTATCAGGATCTGAAAGTTCAAATGGGCATGGCGGAACAAATTATGACATTACAGTTGTTCCTACTTTTTTTCCCATAATCTCGGCAGTGAACTCGACTAACATTTGTGTGCTTGTTTATTTCTTGCTTGCTGCGTTTCATGTGCACCCCTTTTTTGGCATACAAATTTGTTCAGTATCTGAGGGGTGAAAAAGGAATGGCTCACTGTTTGTTAAGCTTGTGGGTTTTGTTGGCCCAAAAGTGAAGATGCACTGCTCGCTGTATTGTGATTCTTTTCTTGTCTTTGAAAAGAAGTTAAAAACAACGGTTTGTAATAAGTGTGTATGTTTTGGAGCGTATCCATCTATTGATCAATGTGTACTTAATGCTGCCACGGCGTTTATTGAACTGATCGTTACTCATGATTGAAATGAAATGATACGGAACTATGTATCAGATGTAGTGTCAAAGCTAATTTAGGTCCACTTTTAGCTGGCCGAAAACGAAAACAAGCAAAAATACCAAGGGCTTCATTGGCGAATTTAAAGGTCCTCTGCCGCGTCGCCCCGGTTCGCCTCTGACCTCTCTCCTTTGGGGTGGTTAGGCAATCCCAACGCAACACGCTCTGTAGCAGCTGTTGCCTCCACCTCGGCGTCTAGCGTCTAGATCACGATGAACGTTGGTTTTGCAAAGTGACAGAGGAACCTGTAGACTTGTAGAGGCAACTATTGCTTCATCTGACAAAAGCCAAAGCTAGTCCAGTTGGTTGAGGTACCTCTCGGGTCCTGAGTTTGAACTTTCATGGGGTGGATTTCAGGCTGACGGTAAAAAAATCTCCTCGCTCGCCCCAGGCCAAAGCATAGGTTAAGATACGTCCCTTCTCACAGGTGACGGCTCTCTGTGTATGGATGGGACGGGAGTTCGAAGATTTTCTCGGTGTGTACGAGAAGACCTTCTTCTTAATCATAGTACCGTGGAGGACGGTCATGACCCCAACAGGCCGAGTTTTTTTTTCATCTGACAAAAATACAGAAGCACCTATTCTGGCTTGCGATCTAGAACAAAGAATCTTTGCCACACGATTTGTTCTGGCTAGCAGCAGCTTTATGCAGCGAGTATAGAATGATGGGATCACAAAAAAAAAAAAAAGAGTTAGCTTGCATTTTGCAGATTGATAGGGCCTATTTGGTTCATGTTCAATTCCAAGGTTGGTTAGCTTTTTGAACCAGGTTAGACTTAGCCAGGTTGACACGAGCCAATAGCCACTTATTTGGTTGGAATGATTGCTAAAGGCTGGCTCAGTTTTAGTTTGTTTGGTTGTTTGCTTTGGCTTACGTGGAATCACCCTATTCTAAGACCGATAAGTTTTAGCCGTTGACACATTTTGTCGAACACGTTAACTTCGCCATGGCCACTGCAACACCATCCTCCATGTCGTGCTCCTACTCTGCCTCCCCCGTAGCTGCTCGAGCGCGTGGTAAGGAGGCGCAGGATCCGCCGAAGCTGCTCGAGCGCGTGGTGGTCTCCGAGGTCTGCGCAGAGGTAGTCGACGGGCGCGCCGGCGGCCACGGCCTCGGAGCTGGGCGACTGCACGCGGCAGAGCAAGACGCGGATGCGCGCCGGCGGCGAGCCCGAATGCCTGGTGGACTTCTGGATGCAGGACACGCTGCGTGAGATCGACGAGGCGGCGGCGGCGGGGCGCCCTCCGCCCGTGCACACCGACGACGAGGAAAGCCAAGGACCTCGCTCTCCACCAGGCTTGGGCGCGGACGCTGGGGAGCTCGGGCTCGGTCGAAAGTGGCCGCCGGAGATCTGGAAGGAGCCGCAGTCGAGCTCGGACGCCGGGGACACTCGGGCTCGAGCTTGGGCGCGGACGCCGGGGCTAGTGACCATCCTGCGCGGGCGGAGGAGATGCAGCTGTTGACGTTGCCGCTTGAGCCAGCGACGGGGAGGAGGGAGACGAGGAGGGACAGGGTGGTGCGCGCTACGGTGCTCTGCTCCACAAGGAAGACGACGACGACCGGCTGCGGGAGGTGCGGCGGTGCGATGCGGAAGAGGGCGGGAGTAGCGGGAGGTGATGCGAATCCATCGATGGCTGGCCAGGGCCTGGCCCAATCTCGTTTTTCTGGAGCCCTTGGTCTCCAAAGTGATTTGATTGGACCTGGCTTCGAGCTATTTACAGGCAACTAAAGAAGTTAGACTTTCTAGAGCTTGGTTGTGGTTTAGCCACCAACCAAACAGGTCCATAGTCTCGAGTTTGTTTGAGACTACTAATATTTTTAGCCTGTGTTGGTCTTGTTTTTATGCGGTGGCCAGTTACCATTATATATAGATCTCTCATTTGGGATGATGATGCGGTGGCCAGTTGCCAGCTCTTATACGTAGATCGCTAGTAGGTTACAGTGGTAGAGGATCGGAGTCTCCTACCTATATCGAGTTTCTAGTAGGTTATACGTCCTATTCGTTTGGCTTATAAGCCATACTTTTTTAGTCAACGAACGGTATTTTTTTCTCACAATAAATCAGCCAATAATACTTTTAGTCATAACTTATCAGCCAAGCGAACATGGCAATAGTTTCTTTAGGGTTTGGTTCCTAGTAAGAGATGATGGCAAATGGGAATATATAAGTCTCTAGTTTTTTCCTATCTTGATGATGTCCAATCCATCGTCCACAGTCAAGATCATGACAGTGTAAAGCAGTTGTCTAGTTTTGATGTGGTGACTCCAATCTCCTCTTCCTGATTATTCTACAGAAAATAACATTGGTAGTCACAAGTGATTATTTTGGTGTTTAATGCCTTGTCTGACAAAGTTGGTAGGTGTCTCTTTTTCTTATTTTCTATTTAATAATACAAACTGAAGGAAGAAAATAGCAAGAAGGGTTTGTATTTTTTTTTGAGGTTGTCTATCAACTTGCCCTTCTCTGACACTGACCATGATTTTAAATAGCGGGCTAAACTTAGTGACAACCTTCTCCTAAATAAAGCTATAGCAGGATATAGTTGAAGTTACATCATTTAACGGTTCTATAGAAAACATGAGAAAATTTTACTAGTATTTTAAAGAGCGAGCTATGACATTTAGGATTTGGCTTTAACGGTAGCCTCTTCTATGACCTATAAATAAATAGATAGATACAAAGATGGATAAGCTGTACGTGAATATAAGTAATTTTACTTTCTGGTGAATCACAGGTCTTTGATTTGGCACGGGTACTTGTATTTTTTTGGATTTATTTCAGAATTTAACGGCGTTGTGCTTTCAATGGTAGGCGACGTTCCCGTTGACAGCGAGGCGCTTATGGTGATTTCGTCAATCTCGAGATGTGTCGGCACAGTCTTTCGTATGTGCTCATAAGGATAGGGTTTACGTACGTGTATTCATAGGGGTGAATGTCCATGCGTGTTGAGCGTGTCCCTGTACTTGTGTATTTCGTAAAATTTTTTTGGAGAGGAGCTAAACCATTTCAGCAATATTTGCTAAGTTTCAATAGTAGATCAAGTACGTGTATCTGCTGACAATACAATTTTTTGTGCAGGTGTGTGGTGGCCTCGCACCGTCACATACTTTTTTTTTTCCACAGTCGCCAGGCCCCGCGATCCAACGGGAGCTGGAGAGTCCAGAGCCCACAGCTCAACCCGCAGCCCAACAACGACCCCCGAGCAGGAGCGGCGGCGGCGGCACAACCCTCTCCGGCAATCGGCATGGGCACGCGGGAGGTGTACGAGGAGAAGCTCCGCAGCGGCGCGCACCTCCACCGCGATCCCACCATCAACCCAGGCCTCGGCTCGCCTCGGTGCCCGCGATGCTTCTCCCTCCTCAACCCCACCGCGGTGCGTCTCTCCCCGTTCCCTTTCCCTTCCCGATTCCCCGAGGCGCTTCCTTGGAGATGTTTCTGACCTGTTCTTATATTCTGCCCGTAGGGAGAGAGGGACTGGGCCATCACCTCCGTCCTGCACGACGCCACCGCCGTGGTAACACGCGATCCCCCGCTCGCTCTCACGCGGATGCGAGATTCGTGTGGTCTTTGCGCCACCGCTTTAGGAAAATTGCTGCCAACTTGTGTGCGATTTGTTGTCCTGTTTGTGCTGTTGTTGTAGGCTGGCTCCGGTGCCGGCGCTTTGCTCAGTGCTGTGCACGGGTTTAACACAGGTATCTTCCAGTTACTTGTTTGGTTTTGGGATTGGATTAGTAGGCATCCAGGTTGGTACAAATTGATATTGTTTTGTTGTTTCTTTGGAACAGGTATCCCTTTTGTCCAGAAGCATGTGAAGGGACCAAAGTGGCTGCAGTTGCTCGTTGGGGTAAGTCTTGGCTTTTGTTTATGGCTATACCTTACATGTTCTATTGTGATCTATCTTAGATAGCTTACTAAAGTTTGGTGTGAATATTGATCTAGTAGTCTGATCCAATATTTTACATGTGTGAAGCCTAAACCATTGGGTAAAATGATGATCTTTTGCAAACAAATTCTCAAGGAAAAACTCTACTTGTTTAGTATATCTGCGTAATCAGCTTTAAGAAGGATATGTTAATAAATGAATGTCTGGTTCTCTTGATGTCAGGATCAACTCAACTACAAACTATATGGTATCGCGACATTGGAGGATTTTGAAAAAAATACAGAGTAGTATTTCAAGGCAAAGTAATAGTCAAACTCAGATATTTGATTGCTTGCATAGTCATTTCTCCTGACCATTTTTAGTTTATCTTTAAAAACATTGGACTGGGGGAGCTGAACATGGCATTCTACACATTAAGGTTTAGGGAGCTAACCTTCCTAACACATTCAGGTTTTGTTATGTGGTTACCGGTATTGTGGTTTGTCGAGTCCTTGATTTGGCCATTTGCTGTCAGTGCTGTCAGGGGCAATGTAATGTTGAAGTTACCTTGTGCCAATGCACCAGGGTAATTTTTTTTGTGCCATTAAACAGCCTCATTTTCACCATATGTTTCAAAAGAATTGTGTATGCTACTTAAACAGTGCACCGGGTCATTTGCTTATAGCTCCGCCCCTGTTTGCTGTCCTGTGTTTATGTGGCAATTGCTAATAGCTTTTGTAGATTGTAATTTGGTTGCTATAGAACTTTGAGAAAGGATGCTTTGTTACGATCTGTTCACTTTGGAAATTGCTACTTCTGTAGGTGCCACCGCTGCTGACGTTCTCAGGTGCCAGTGCTGTATTTGGTGGTAAGTCTCCAATAGCTATATTTGTTTCTAGAAAATGCAATAAGCTCTATGAAATTGTCCGCGCAAGTTAGTTTGACTTTTTTGAGCTATGATCTGATTATTAAACCAATGCTTCTTTATGTGTTTGGACTGGGAATCTATGCACATCTATAATTGGAACATGAAAATTTTTTGCATTCTTTGTGTATAGACTATAGCTTATAGGGGTACAGAAACAGATACGGTTTGTCATCAGGGTTGGATTAGATGTGGTTTCATTCCTGTCAAAACACTACATTAACTTCTCCATCTTGTTCTTTCCAAGTCCACCAACCCAGACATATGTATCTAAAAATATTTTTGTCTAATAGCTTAATCTTAAACAATTTGGCTTGTAAACCTCATGTTTATTGTTATATAAGATACTATCATAATTGTTAAGAGTCCAAACAAAGCAAGTTGAGGTTCAGGTAAAGTTTGAAGTTCCTTCCAAAGTTATTTCTTAGCCAAATAGAACAGGATTGCTTTTCTTAGCCAGAATGCCATGCACAATGCACTAGGTTAGCTGTTTTGAACAAATAGGAGGGATGTAAATTGCAATCTTGTACAGTCGAGATGAAATTTATTGTGGTATTTGAATCATGCATGGTAGCCATTCCAATGAATGTTTTTCCTCGAGGGATTGAACCGGAAGTGTCTCAGGCTTCCAGCTCTGTGCCAAAGTTCCTTGAATGTCTTAAAAGTCTCTTAGACCTCTGTTGGAAGCACATCAACAAGGCGAAGAGAAACATTCAACTTCTTTAGAGGAACTTAAATTTGGAGAGCATGCCAAATTGGACATAGCAAATCACGGCTTCCATGCAATGCATGTTTTTTGACAGACTTGTTAGCAAACTTGATTTGTTTTTCTCTACTGCATAGTACCTAATGATATATTACTTGATGCAGCATATGCACTTCCAAGGTTTGCTCAGCTCACCGTGACGTCTTACTACGCTGCATCAACTGGCTCGCAGTACACGGTTTCTCAGATCACACGGCAGATCGAAAGAGCTCATTTCCAAGAATCCGACGAGAAATCTAGATGAGTTGGTTGGCATACAGTCTGTTCTATTGGTCCCATGTACATGGTATATAGGAGTAAGTACGTTTACTGCTGCTTTTGTCATGTTGCAGTACAGTACTAGTTTTACTGTGTTTCAGACAGCACGCAGTGAATAAAATTAAATTGTCTTGGCCCAACTGTCTGTATTCAGGTCTTGGGTTAAAATGTTTTTTTTTTCACTTAGTAAAATATTAGCTTTATTTATGCGCGGAGAACTGAGACGAACTAGTAAAGACCGTAAGAATAAACAGTAGTAAGTACTAAACTATAAGGATGATACATTGCAGATCTGCAGTGAAGAACACGACCTGACTACAGTGCACATAAACGCAAATGACTAGTTAACACTGGGTGTCCTCATCAGCTGTCATCAACGATGCAATCTAAATATTGGAAACAAATCCTACACCAATCACCAAATTCTCCAATTCTTGATCAGACAAACGTCCAAGTCGATCCGCGATCGGGAGGAGAGTGGCTAGATCTAGCTGCCCGGCGGCGGTATCCCGGCGTAGTACAACCACGCCCTCTCCTTCTCCCGGCGCTGCTTGCGCAGGTACCACTCCCGCCACTGCATGAACTCCTTGGTCCGCCGCGCGCCGTGGTCGGACCCGGCGGCGGCGGCGGGCGGTCGCACCACCGCGCGCCTCCGCCTTGGCCGCGGCACGCGCGGCCCCGGCCTCTTCATGCTGATCGCGACGACGACCCCCACCATCATCGGCGCGGGCGCCGGCGCCGGGGCCGCACCCCTCCCTCCGTCTTCTCCCACCGCGACGAGATCGTTGACGTCGTCGGACGAAGAGGAGGCCGGCGCCGTCTCCACGGCCGCGCCTTGTCCCGTGTCCGTTTCGCCGGCGTCCATTTGTTTCGTAACCGGCGGCTACGGCGGCCCTTGGGTGAACCACCTACGTCTACGTACTACTAGTAGTAGGCTCGGTCGACGCGTGTCACGTTTTATAAAGCCCGCACGGGGTCGGTTGGGGCTGCCCTGTGGCGGTGCGTGCGTTTCGATCGGGGTCGGTTGGGGTTGTCCCATCCAAACCCGGATCGACGCCGCCGCCTCTTCGTTCTCCCGGATTTCAAATCTTCAGCATCGTGCGTAACCGATCATCTTTCCTCTTTTTTTTTTCCGGATGCTTCACGTTCGCCGCTCGCTGTATATTCTTTTGTGTCTTCTGCGAAAGAATTACACGCAAAGCAACACATCCGGCCGAGATTGACATATCTTTTATATACTATAGAGAGCCGTAAAGTAAGAGTACGTCACTGTGTAAGAGACTAATGGCATGTTTAGTTTGCGGCGTGAGATGATCCGGAATGATCCGAACCTAATACCGAAGCTGCCACTGCTGTTTGGTTCCTGGCATGGAACTGCCCTGTCCGTCATCAGTTGATTCCCTGTAGAACTAAGGTCCTGTTCGCTTGTCTGAATTCTGCAGGAATCTGGATGGTTTAGAGGAATGTTGGAGGAATTTATGAGAGAAAAACACTATTCCGAATGAAAAAATAAACGGATCAAACCGAATTTAAGGACACGCGAAAGGGGCCTAAATTGCAAGCAATCGTAGAGGACGGACTCACTCCGCAAAAAATGTCGGATGGACCCATTCATCTATTGTCAGCGGGTTCACTTGATGCCGGATGGAATGAATCGGTAAACCAAACACGCTGTAAGGGCACGAGCATAGAGGCTAAAGCACTTAGTAGTTTTAGTATAAATAAAGTGATCCACGTAGATTAGGAAATGTTGAAATTACTATTTACACAATGCAAACTATTACTACTCGTGGTTTTATAGAAACTTTTTTTTCATCATGCCTTACTTTTATTTCTTCTTTTTTTTAGCATGGACCACATATGTAGCTTCTGCAGACACTACGGGAGACGCGCTCTTTGCCGAGTGCTCGGCGCTTTGCCGAGTGTCGAAACACGGGCACTCGGCAAAGAGACAGTTTGTCGAGTGCCGCACTCGGCAAAGAGGGACACTCGGCAAACGTCCTATTTACCGAGTGTCAGACACTTGGCTAAGAATAACCCTTAGCAAAATACCTCAGCCGACGCCGGTGGCCCCTCCGGCAAACGTGCCGTCTTTGCCGAGTGCTGCAAGCCCGGCACTCGGCAAAGAGGTTCCTTTGCCGAGTGCTAAATCCGACACTCGGTAAAGTATTTTTTTTTATTTTTGTTTTTAATTTTTTTCTGTGGCATTTATACAGTACCTTGAAGCACATGTTCCAATTTGCAACTTTTCTATGACTTTTTGGTATATTTTTTAAATTTTTTATGTTTACTTGAATTTTTCTCGAAAAAGTAAATTTGAACTGCAGGTGCATGAAATATTAGAATTTAGCGATTCAAAAAATGGTATTCATGTTTTTGAAAAATATACCAAAAAGTCATAGAAAAGTTGCAAATTGGAACATGTGCTTCAAGTCTTGTATAAATGCCACAGAAAAATTTTGAAAATAAAAAAAAACTTTATCGAGTGTCGGATTTGGCACTTCGCAAAAGGAACCTCTTTGCCGAAAGTGCAGCTTGGCTAAAGACTCGGCAAAGACTATTCAGATTTTTTTATTATTTCGGATTACAAAAACCACGAATTTCTTTTGAAAGTGCCGCATTTTGGCTTTTCGGCAAAAGCCGCCCCACTTAACCCTAGCGGGCGGCCGCCCGCTCCCTCCTCTCACTCTCCTCGTCACTTTGTCGCGCGCCGCTAGCCCAGCTGGCCTTGCTCCACCACTGCCTGCCCCTCGCGCCGGCCGGGCAGCCCCCCCCTCGTCCCGTCCATCCAGCCACCCACGGCCCGCCCGGCCAGCTCGGCCGCCGGACGTGGCTCGCCCAGCCGCTCCGCATGTTGCTCTCCCGCCGCCGCGTGGCGGCCCGCCGCTGCCGGTGGTGCCCTGCCCGGCTACTCCCCGCCCCTAACCCGCCGGAGTGGAGGAGCAAGGGATCCAGTAGAGGAGAGAAGGGAGGTGGAGGAGAGGAGAAGGGAGAAGGAAGAAGGAGAAGGAGAAGGGAGGAGGAGGAGCCTCGGCCGCCGGCCACGCCCCTCGCCGTTCGTCCCCGCCGTCGTCCCCGCCCCTCGCTAGAGACGAAGGTGACCCCAGCACCGCGTCGCCCGACTCCACCGCCACTCCAGGTATAAAGCCCCCCCGGTTGTCGGCCTTCGTGCCTTGTATGTTATTGACGGCCTTCGTGGCGTATGTGGATGTGTGGGCCTTCGTGCTGTACATGGATGTGTGAGCCTTCGTGCCGTATATATGCTGTCGGCCATCGTGTCGGCTTTTTTCTTGCATGTTTTGGAAACCTCCCCGTATAGGGGAGGTTCTGTCGAAATTTTTAACTTATAGTATTATAATTCTTCTTTTGCAGAGCAGGACCCGTCGGAGGGGACCCGGAGTACGTAGGCGACCCCGATCGTCTTCGTCGGCGCTGCGGTCCTGCCTGCACAGCGTCGCCTTGCCACTGTCCCGCTAGCCTGACTCCACCGCCACCCTAGGTATAAATAACCTCTCTTCCTTATCATTGTCGTAGATCGGTGTAACCCAGTTAGGCGTCTCCCGTTCGAAACAGATACGGTTGGAGGTATGCGGATCTTCACATATCTAAGACCGTATCTGTTTCGGATTGTCCACTTTTTTGGACAGCCCGCGAATGCGTAGATGGGGTAGTTTTCATGTTCTGCTTCGATCCGAGACAGAGTTTTGGCACCACCTCCCTGTTGTTCTCTGGATACACACTCTCCTTCCGGGGACGTGTATCGGAGAACAACGGGAGGTGCCGCTTCCGAAATGTATCTCGGATCGAGTAAGCATGTAAACTAACCTCATCTACGCATCCGCGGGTGGGATTAGGACCTATCCTCACCCATTAGACAGTAGGCACGCCGTTCAGATGCAATTGGTGGTTATATTACTCGCTCATGTATATGCTAGAGGATGGATAACCGTGAGTGGATGTACACGGGCCGCCCAAGTCAGGCTGAAATCACCCCTAAATGGATGGACAAGACCGAGGGTTTCTTGAACCAAGCATTTGGCAAGGCAGCTAATGGAGCGAGAGACACATTCTGTCCCTGTAGCGAATGCGGAAACAGGAAAAGAAAAACAAGAAAGATCATGGGGGAACATCTTTGCAAGTATGGATTTACGCCAAACTATACCCGATGGGTGTTCCATGGTGAAGCCCATCGTACTAGAGAGGAGGTGGTGAGACCACGCTTGGAGGCGTTTGATGCTGATGGCGGGGTAGCAGGATGGTTAGGTGACTATTGCGAAGCAACGTTCGCTGAAAGACCTACAGAGGAGGAGGAGGAGGAGGAGAAGGAGGATGAGGAGGAGGATCCAGAGCCAACCGGAAAGGCGTTCTACCAAATGTTGTCTTTGGCACAGAAGCTCCTACATGAGAAGGCAACGGTTTCTCAACTGGATGCCATTGGACGCCTAATGGGGTTGAAGTCCCAGTACAACATGAGTCGAGCCTGCTTCGATGGTATGTTGGCAGTTATTGATGGGCTGCTTCCGGAGGGTCATATTCTACCGAGCAGCTTCTACGAGTCACAGAGACTCCTTCGTGCACTTAAGATGCCGTATGAGCAGATACATTGTTGTCCGAAGGGGTGCGTCCTATTTAGGAAAGATCACAAGGATGCAAAGTACTATCCAAAGTGTAAATCCTCTAGGTATGTGGAGGTAGACAAAGGTGATGGCCAGAAGGAGCAGCTTGAGATCCCCATGAAAGTCCTACGGCACCTTCCGATCATACCGAGGCTCCAACGGCTATTCATGACCGAGGAGTCCGTGAAACAGATGACATGGCACAAGAATGGCATTCGATACAATCCTGATAAGATGGTACATCCAGCTGATGGTGAAGCATGGAAAAGCTTTAATCGAAAGCATCGTGACAAAGATCTTGAGGCCCGTAATGTACGTGTTGCGCTGGCAACGGATGGGTTCAATTCTTATGGAATGATGTCGGCCCCATACACTTGTTGGCCCGTGTTCGCTATCCCCCTCAATCTCCCCCCCGGGGTCCTCCTTCAATGGCAAAACATATTCTTGACGTTGATAATTCCTGGACACCCGGGAAATAAAATGGGTGTGTACATGGAGCCTGTTTATGATGAATTGATCAGTGCTTGGAATGAAGGGGTATGGACTTATGACCGAGCTACAAAGAAAAACTTCAAAATGTATGTTTGGTACCAGTACTCCATGCATGACTTCCTGGCGTATGGGATATTCAGCGCCTGGTGTGTCCACGGGAAGTTCCCATGCCCGGTATGCAAGACAACTCTGGAGTTCATTTGGTTGAAGAAGGGTGGCAAGTTTTCGTCGTTCGACAAGCATCAACAATTCCTCCCTCTTAACCATGCATTCAGACAAGACACCAAGAACTTCACGAAAGGTGTCAAGGTGACCGACCCTAAACCTCAGAAGATGACTGGTGCCTAGGTTCATGCTCAGATAGATGCTCTCGTGGTCAATCCACAGAAAGATAGTCGAAAGAAAGATAATCCAAAGAAAGATTGCTTTGTGGGATATGGTGTCGAACATATGTGGACTCATAAGTCGGGCTTAGAGAGGCTTCCCTATTTTGAAGACCTTCTCCTTCCACATAATATAGATGTAATGCACACTGAGAAGAATGTCACCGAAGCACTTTGGACAACACTCATGGACATTCCTGACAAGACAAAGGACAACCCTAAGGCCAGAGTGGACCTGGCAACGCTATGCGATAGACCAAAGCTAGAGATGCTGCCTCCAAGAGACGGCAAGCCATGGAAAAGGCCTAAGGCCGATTACGTCTTAGAAAAGAAGCACAGGACGGAAGTGATACAATGGATGCAGATGTTAAAGT